GGCACGACTTTACTCGTTAGACCTTGGGGGGAGGGATGACGAAGTGGTCAATGGAGAACGACGACAACTAGTGTTAGTACTAAAAAGAATGAGAGGAGGGAGAGGACTGGAAAAGGGAGGAAAACGAAATGAGGCAAGTAATTGGGTTAGTGGAAACCGGTGGAAGGGAGGAGGGAAGGAGACGAGGGTGTGAGAAAATTTTCTCGTCTTACCTCTCATTATGGACTTCGTCAATATAAGCCTCAATATTAATTATTCTTTCTAATTATCTTCAGCGCAGGACACCATCATCCATAGAGCAAACCTTTTTTTTTTTTTTTTTTAAGAGGGACATGCTCCAATATATTCATGGGGAGCAGCACGTGCTGGGAACTGGGCCCAGCGTTCCATTCAAGAACATATTGAAAATGAGAAATTTATGGAAAAATCCTTGAGATACTAGGGTCATTACTCGGCTTTGGATACCAAAAACAACTGTGTAATCTTCATAAGAACACTAAAATTCTATGTTCCCTAAAGCTCGGATCAAAGAAGCATTCTGAACGAAAAAAACATTTGCCTAGGGCCTTTCTGCAGCCCCAACATACCTGCCTCACCCCTGGATCCCGATGCCCAATCTCTATGCGGCCTCATGCCCCCAACTGCTAGGTTACAGAGTGGCACGACCCACCCCAGAAACCCCCCACCTGCTAGGCCACAGGGCAAATCGACCCACCCCGGCTCCGGCCAGCATCGACTAGGCAGTGTAGGCACCAGCTCACCAAAAGACACTAGAGTGCCTTCCACCCTCGACAACTCCCCAGATCTCTCTACTAGGCCTCATGCCCCCGTTGTAGCAGTACCCCTACGGCCCGACAGTGAGGCGGGACCGGTTTCAGGCCGTCGGCCTGACCCTGGCCTGGTACCAGGTTGATTCCCGTACCTGGACCTAGGCAGGTATATCACTTCGGCCTAGGCCCAGGTCCGGTCAGTTAGTTGGTTCATTCATTGGGTCGGACTGGACCTTCACTCAGCTGCTGCTTGTCGTGTGTGTCCATCTCCTCTCTCTCTCTCTCTCTCTCTCTCTCTCCATCTCCGCATGTGCCCTCCGCAGGTACGTCACACCCGTACAACTCGAGTTACAGGGCAGCGCGACCAAGCCCCAACACCGACCAGCATCGTTCTGGCCTCGTCTATTCGCAAACCACTGAGACTCAGAACTAAAGCAAAAACCAGTCACGCCACCAATCAGCACCATAGCTGTAGATCTTATCATTCATCTCCTTCATGCACTGGTTGCAGATATCCCCCCAAAAAAACCCTGAGCCCTACTCCGGCAAGTCTTACCACGATGAAGTCACCATCTCCACCGCTGCTGTACCCTGTTTCAAACCTACACGCTAAGCCCCTTCGCCGCAGAGCACGTCATCTCCCACCGTCACAACCACCACAACCCCCTGCCTCCAGCACCAAACCCTAGAATATTTTTTCAAATAGGAAAAATAGGAGATCTAAAATTCTGAAAAATCATATGAAAATTCCAGCGCCCACTATTCCCGCAGGGAGAGGGGAAGAGAGAGAACAACCACCCTCTCTCCCCATGGAAACTCCAACGCCTATTGAAGTCTCAGTTACATATATAAGGGTCACAAAAATCAAAGGGATTACTCCTCTCCCCCCAAAGACAACCCCCTGTCTGTTCGCTGCCTCCGCGGGAAAGCGCCTCCTCACCTCCCTGCCCCAGTTCATAACAGCCCCCAGAATACGACTCCTACTCCCTCAGTCGCATATAGTCCCCTTAAAGTATGCCCCCACAGAGCCGGAGATCCCCCTTCCTTCTTGCCCCACCCTCTCTAAGCGGAACAACCTCTCAACTTTCACCCTGCTGACATCAGCACCCCCTGTCCTCTCTCTCCAACCGCCATAGCTGATCCGACCCGAAGATCAACGTGGCCCAGAAAAAGACAAACCCTCAATACCGTCCCTACCCTTTCAAGGATCACACCACCCACCTTGTGTAACCCTCGCAGGGAGGGACTCCAACCCGAAAGGAGATATCCATTCCAACACCTCTGACCCTGATCCCACAACATCCCGGGCTGAGACTCCCTTGCTAAGAACATCAAAATCAAACCAATTACTTGCTTACTCACTGTTTGAGAAATTTTGTGAGAGCTAAAATTTTCAACCTAGTGCACGTCAATCATAGAATGCAAATCACGAATTTCCATCTACAAGATCAGAGTAAGAATTTCAAATTTGAGAAAAAATAACAGATTTCCATCTACAAAATCACAGTACGAATTGCAAATTTGAGAAAGTTGAGTCATGCAAACGAAGCTTGGAACTAGATTTGAGCCACAATTAGGAATTAAAACGTTAGATATTAGAATCCAATTTATGAATATCAATATCAAGAAACTCAATCAAGGAATTCTAAGAAAATAAAATTTGCAATATCAATTGTAACGAATTCGATCACAGAAACCGTGCAGGACCAATCAAGAGTATACACCAGGAAGGAAGTAGTCTTAGAACTAGATTCATAAATTCCAATCAAAGAAAACAAAGTCAATCATAGGCAAGAAATTCATTGATAGAACATCATGAAAAGTTATGGAACCAGAAATTATAATTATGAACTAGTATATGAGAAACACACCGCTCTATCGTTCTCTCGTCTTCTACAAACTGCACTCCACCCATCTACATTACCCCTCCTCTCCCACCACGAACCTTACCCCCCACACCTTTTTAAGGGAGAGCCTCCCCCCTCCCCTTGGAAGCAGAAGGCCACCAGGCCCATCCCAAGGCTCGTTGCGATAGTTAGCGTTGAGCCTGTTGACAACAAGTCGCAGGAGTTTCACTCTGGCAAGATAGAAGGAAGAGATTAAGTCAGCACAGAAAGAAAAGCAACTGAGGACAAATAAGAACATAACACGACATTCTCCGCATTTCCAAGCAGAACCATTCTAGAGACCATAGAACACATTTTTCTTGCAATGTCCTGGCATGGTCTGGTTATGGCGCTGGTGGGACAGGATTTGGAATTCCCTAAACACCCCGCTGACTTGGCCTTGGGACTGGAGGTCTCTATTATGCGAGACCTGGTCCTCAGTTTCTCTCGATGACTTTACCCATAACTTATTCCAAATTGGCAGAAGAGTCATCCTTTGGGCCCTCTAGAATCGACGCTGTACTTTTGAAATGGAAGGTGCGAGGCTCGACGACCCTGATGTAACATAAATGATTAAGCTGCAAGTGCAGACAGACATCACAATTCAATGGAACAAAGTTAACGAAAAAATTCAACTCCTATCAACCAAAAAAGAAATACTTCATCACATCCAACTATTCAGTGACACTTGGCTAGGGGGGCCTCAAGGAGGCAAGATTGCACAAATCAGAGAGGGAGGGTCCAGGAAAGGAAAAAAGGGAGGACAAGTCGAGGAAGCACAAAAAGACTACTGCCTATCTTTCCATGATTGGTCAAATGTGGACCCATCAGTCCCCTTTCGACCCCCATCACAGTTTCCAGACCCATTCCCCCCTTCCTCATTATATGGTCCCTGTGAGTTGGTATGGCTATGATTGAGGGAGAATGCTCAGTGGAAAAAAGGGCTAAGCCCCCTTGCAGCTTAGTTTTGCCTAACATAAATGAAAGAGATACAGACAGAATGGATCTCAATCAGCTAGCAACCTAGCAAAGAGAGATAAGGCCAGGTAGAACACAATATCATCCCCAATCAAGGTAAAAAGACTACCAGAAATATCATCCAAGCTTCGTACCAGGGCTTAACTAAGATATCTGGCGCCACTCATTTGAGGGTGAAGAGGTACAAGGGACGCTGGGCCCGGTTCCCAGCAAGATCTGTTTCATTATCTTTTTATTGCAATCAAGGGATGCTAGACCCGTTTTCCAGCAGGTGCAGCTCCCCACCAATAGACTGGAGCCCCCAGGGGTCCAGATAGGAGTGAATGCTCTTATCATCACTCCTATCTGCAGCCACAAATGGGATTCTTAAAAAAAAAAAAAAAACCAAGAACATAACACGACAGAGGAAGGGATAAGAAAGGGTGAAACTGGAGAGAAATGACTTACTATTCCAGGCTCTCGTTTCTCCCTTTACACCACGATCCAGTCCATCCCATCCAAAACCCACCCCATCCCATCCACACACAGGATCAACTAAACGATGCTGATCATAAGACGCTTCCTCATCTTCGTGATCCCCCACTCGCGTTATTCTTCCCCCTTTTGGCGATGTTTAAATCTCCCGCTATAGAACATGCAGAAAAAACAAAGGTTTCAGCCGACACTCCCATCCCACTCGCGAACCAGACCACCACATGGCATCGCTCCGGATGAAGGGAAGCAACCCCCCCCTAACCCTCACAACACAACCACCATGTGTCCTCGCCAAAGATGACAACCTCCAATGGTGGAGGTCAGAAAAACGACGTTTGAAGTTGTGCGTCTCAAGAGAGACAATGTTGATGTGTAAGTAAGGAAAGGTTCCAGCGTGGAAAGTTGATGTCTTTGAAGGGACGGGTCAGGCTCCATAGCGTGTCCTCATCTGTAGAGGCGGCAACTCCTCTATGATCTCGGGATTGCTAGCCAGGTGGGAGAGAGAGAGAGAGAGAGAGAGAGAGAGAGAGAGAGAGAGAGAGAGAGAGAGAGAGAGAGAGAGAGAGAGAGAGAGNAGAGAGAGAGAGAGAGAGAGAGAGAGAGAGAGAGAGAGAGAGAGAGAGAGAGAGAGAGAGAGAGCGTGTAAGGATGGATGAGGTTCCAGCGTGGAAAGTTGATGTCTTTGAAGGTGAGTCAGCCTCCATATCGTGTCCTCATCTCCAGAGGTGGCAGCTCGTCCATGATCTCGGGATTGCTAGCAAGGTGGGAACGGATGCTGGTCACGCGATCTGCGAGATACGTGTTGTCCAAGAAACTATCGTAGGCATCGGCTCCCGAATTCCACGCCGCTATCATGCAGTGACGCAAATATGCTCGACAGGGAAACACATCGTCGTGCCATACTCTGTCTACTCCATGACGGTCGTATAGACGGTAATACTTTTCATCATCTTGGCAGCGAATCCGACGATAACTCTCGCCATCCCATCGTGCACACACTACGGCGGGCCGGGGGGCAATCCTCCCTCGGCCTCTCTCCTCTTTTCCTTCTCCCTCTCCCTCTCCCTCTCCCTCTCCCTCTCCCTCTTTCTTCTTGGCGTCCTCCTCCTCCTTTCTCCCCTTCTCCTCTGCCACGTGTCCGTCCTCCCCCTCCACCTCCACTCCCTCTCCTCCTCCCCTTCCAACACAACTTCAGTATAAACGACAAGAAACCGGAAGTCGTGCTCTTGCTTGATGTACTTTGGCACCTCCTTGTCTTCGATCTCGAACAGGGTGATGATGAGCGAGGCGTTGACGTCATCGACCTCCTCCACGCTTAGGCTGGCAATCTCCTTCGTCTCCATGTTAGGCACTCCGTTCTCGAAGAAGATTGGCGCCACGTGTGCAAAGATCCGACGAAAGCCTCTTAACCTTGCCTTGCGGAAGTTCTGCAGGTGGGGAAATGTTTCTCGCGCGCTCTGCTCAGAAAGCAGCGACCCAAACTCGCCGATGGAAATCTGCCCTTCGTCATCGGCAACGGATAAGAACGCCGCTTCGTCTTCGAGATCCTTGTAGTGGCGGGGTCTGTCGATGGCGATGGCGGCAGCGGCAGTTGCGTTATCGTCTCCATCATCACAAGCAGGTTGGCCGGGCGCCATAGCGGTCAAGCTCGGTTTTCTGCTCTCAGAGCTTTCCACACTTGTGTCTGCTCTAAATTCAATTTTATTTTTTATTTTTTTTAATTTTATTTATAACAAGCTCCATCTATTGGTGGGGAGCAACACCTGCTGGAAACTGGGTCCAGCGTCCCATAGATACAACCATATCCTCCCAAATTGGCACGAACTGAGAACCGGGCCCAGCGTCCCATAGCGAGCACGTTCAGAAAACTCGTCAGAGAATTTCATGAAAAATGAGACTAAGACTAAGAACCTATTGGAGGAATCCAATTGGCCTAAGAATGGAGCTTGGAAATTGAGATGAGCTCAAGGAAATTGAAGTTATTCCAAACCTAGACAACTTCATGATTAAGCAAATTTCAGAAACCACTCTGAAAGACCCCCATCAATCCACTTAACCTCACTCCGGCAAGACTGATTGCAGCAGAGCCACCATCTCTGTTGTTGCTATACCATACTCCCATCCTACCAGCTAGCCCCCTCACTGGTAGGACGCGTGATAACCCACCATCTTCTCCCACTCACCTTCATTTAAGATCATTTGAGATAATGGGACCATTACCCGGCTTCAGCCGAGAACAGACTTCTTTTTTTTAACTAAGGACACTTGCTGTAGTTTAGGAAGCATATAGACCGGGATCCTACAAATGCTCCAGAACCTTAGAAATCCCTAACAACCTTTCCAAAGCTCTCCAACGCTGTCCTACTCCCTGCCGAGCTCTTCCAGGTCTCACACCCCCACCACTTGCTGGGTTACAGGGCGACACAACTCGCCCCAGCTCCGACCAGCGTCGTCCCAGCAGCAACCCATGGTTGTCCCGTGGAATGCTCGCCCTAAAGCATCCCCAGATCTCTCTACCAGGCCTGACGCTCCTGCAACAGCAGGTTACAGGGCAACCCCCAACACCGGCCAGTGTCGTTTTGGCGTCGAACAACCTCTGATCACCGAGTGTAACAGCGTAGAACCAACTAAGAAAAATTACCAGGAATCCCCAAAGTCATAAACCATTTATGAGACCCCCATCAGACTCAAACTGAGAACATACAAGGAAACCACCCATAATCCACCTCCTTCCCTGCACTGCAGAGGGAAGACTACAACCCAGATAGTCAGTCCTCGTACCAGAACTCGCTCGGTCTCATACCCCCCATGCTAGGGTGACAGAGCCCCACCAACTGCCCCAGAACCGACCAAAACTAGTTCTGACGAATAGGAAGTGTCTTCCTCCCTCGACAACTTCCTTAGCTACACAGCCCCCACGATTACAGGGCCACCGCCCCGGCAACAACTATGTTGAGCAAGATGGTTATGCCTTCTCCCTCGGCATAGCTTCAATAGTCTCGAGCTCCCCCTGGTTACAGAGCAACTGCTCTAGCACTGACCATTGTCGCCCCACCCCGCCCTTCTAATAGACTGACCACCCTGGACACTAGACCATCCTCTGCCCGCACCTCCCCTTGCTATAAGCCATCCTTCCCCTTCCTGGGTACTGAGACACTTTTTGAGAGAAAACTTAAGGACAAAACTACCAGGGACATCAACAACATGACTGCAAAAATATGAACATACTAGCACCTATTGTTCCCACAGGGAGAGCGGAAGAGAGGGGAAAATACAGCCCTCTCTCCCTCTGGGGACTTCAGCGCCTATTGAGGCCTCAATAACTTGTAAAAGGGATCACAAGAGCCAAAAATGGTTATTCCCCGCCCTCAGAACAACCCTCTGTTTGTTTGCCGCCTCCGCGGGAAGGCACCCCGTTACCTCCCCGTCCCAGTTCCAAACAGCCCCCAGAATACCCCTCCCGCTCCCTTGGTTGCATACAATACCCCCTAGAGTATGCCCCGACGAAGCAAAAGATCGCCCTCACCTTCCTGCCCCGCCCTGTCCAAACGGAACAAACCTCTCAACTCTCACCCTACTAAAATCAACACCCCTTGTCTTCTCTCCCCAACCGCCATCACTGACTCGGCCCAGAAATCAGCATGGCTCAAGAGAGGACAAGCCCACGATACCGTCCCAACCCTCTCAAGGACCACACCACCCACCTTGTGTAATCCTCGCAGGGAGGGACTCCAACCCTAGGGGAGATAACCACTCCAGCACCTCTGACCCCTATCTAATGACAGCATCACAGATTGAGACCTCAAGTTGCTAAGACTAATTGCTAGAAAAACCTAATTAGCATCGACATCAGAAAACCCACTGGGAAAACGAGTAAGATCAGGAATTATAAGAGAAATTGCACAGACAACAAGTCAAGCATCCAAGGGTTTGAATCGTGAATTTTGAGCATCAAAGTTGAAGATGAAAAAGAGAATACGATTTGAAAATCTAAGTGAGAAAAACATAATAGAGAATCACTTCTGCTGTCCAAGTGGACTTTCAATTCAGACTTCCAGAACCCAAAGTTCAAGAAATCGATCAGACCATAGGGAGATGTCGATCAGAAGAACCTTTTCATAAGAACATCTAAGATTATGGTTTCGGAAAACAAACCAATAACACTAATATTGAATCATCATCATTGTGATAACCATCAAAGATAGCACCATAGGAAAAAACGAAACAGGTAATACAACCATATCTAAAATCAGGATCTAATCTTCAAGAATAAAAGACTGGACGGTATTGAACCAGTATTGAGCCAAACAAAATAGTTGAGAATCACATCGTTAAGAGACTAATCAAGGTTATCACAGAATCACCGCAACAAATGGAGAGGAAGAACACCACATACCTTCGACATCCCTAAAAGCACCCCCCCTCCGAGTCTCTCCAAACCTCACCTCCTCCCTCATCGGCTTTCCAGCAACTCGGCCACCTGTGGTTGACGCATATTCAACCATCCAAACGATGAAGATAACAGGACCGCAGCCCGGAGTATTCCAAAACCGCGTCGCGAGACAAAACCGTTGAGCCTGCCAGCCGCCCCTCGTAGGTAGCCTGAAGAGGAAGGGGTGTCATTATCGTCGACGTCGCCCATCTCCCACTCCTTCTTGTGATCCCCTTCCACTGATCCACTCTTCCTCCTCTCCGATGAGACCCTGTTTAAGCATGCAAACTAACGAGCCCAAAAACGGGAAAAGCAAAACATAAGAGGTTGCGGCAACACCCGAAGACCATCAGCCTACTGGCAGCGACCATATCCTCCCCCCCAACCCCCCACCTTCCGTCCATCCATCACTGCTCCTTGCGCGCCCTGCCCACAACCCCTCTCCACTCGCTGCTATTCCCCATCTCTCATTGTGGCCATGCACTGCGCCACTCCTCTCACCACTGTTCCCTACCCCGTTCGTCACCATGCGTCGTAGCTGTACTTTCGCACCTCTCCGCTCGATGCAGCACCTTCGTCGCTCCGCGCCTGCCTGCTTCCCCGTGGCCCGATAGCGAGATCGGCGAGGCGGGGCGCAGCGCGACCGGTCGCACTGCGCCCCGATCCTGGGTCGACCCACCACGATCGCTCTAAATTCAATTTATCATTACGACATTGAATTTCACCCCCCTTTTCGAAATACAATTTCCCAAATAAGTTTCCTCGCTAAATTTTCTGTAGAGTCATTCTGACATCATCACCACCATCAGCACCATCGTCTGCTTACAAATCGTTATTTAGTATTCTTCATCACTAACTAGTTGATTTCTCCTCACTGACTTTTGAGTCAGATTTGGTAGAGAAGGCAAGTGGATTGAAGGTGGGGCACCCCCTTCAAGGATTTCTTCCTTGAAGGAGAAGGTAACAATCCTGCCGACGATGGTCGAAGCTGGGGCGGGCAGCTGGGGCGGGTAGCCCTGCCCTGTAACCTGGCTAAATAGAGGGTGTGAGACTCGGTAGAGGTGGGATTGGTACACAGCACAACATCATATGAGAATTGCTGGAATTGGTAGAAATACCTGGAATTTGGATAGGGTTCCATGTTGAAGTTATGAGTAGAGAACATTTTGATTAGCCTTTTTTATCACTCTTCCTTATTGGCTAGCACTTCCAGTGCAACTAGTCAGACATCATGATTCTGATTAGTAGAAAATCATCAGTTTTGGCATAATCATCATCATCCTGATCATCATATGTTGGTTACTCCGGGTAGACTGTGAGGACCCCGACCTCAATGTTCTTAATTTTTTTTTTATTATTATTATTTTTTGAAAAAAACTCTATCTATTGGTGGGGAGCAGCACCTGCTGGAAACCGGGTCCAGCGTCCCATAGATACAACCATATCCTCACAAAGTGGCACAAATTGGGAGCTGGGCCCAGCGTCCCATAACGAGTACACTAAAAAAATTTCATCAGAAAATTCATGAAAATGAGATAAGGAACTACTAGAAAAGTCTAATTAGCCTAAGGATGGAATTTTGGAAATTGAGATACCGGGGCCATCGGAAAAGTTGGAGCTACTTGAGACATGTCTATGACAATCTTCATGACTAAGCAAAATTCAGAAACGACTCAGAAAACCCCCCATCAATCCACTATACCTCACTCCGGCAAGACTGACTGCAGCGGAGCCACCATCTCTGCTGCTGCTATGCCATACTCCCATCCTACCAGCTAGCCCCCTCACTGGTAGGACGTGTGATAACCCACCATCTTCTCCCACTCACCTTACTCTTACCGTCGTTCCAGAAGCATGAGAATAGGTCACAAAGGTCCTATGATTGTTCCAAAAAACTCGAAATCCCACACAAACCCTTCCAACGTTCTCCAAAACTGTCGTACTCCCTGCCGATCTCTTCTAGGTCTCACACCCCCACTTTCTGCTGGGTTACAGGGCAGCGCGACTCACCCCAGCTCCGACCAGCGTTGTCTTGGCAGCAATCCTTGGTTGTCTCGTGGAAAGCCCACCCCAAGACCTCCCTAGATCTCTCTACCAGACCTCAAGCTCCTGCATCGCAAGTTACGGGGCAACACCCCAGCACCGATCAGCGTCGTTCTGGCATCGAACAACCGCAGATCACTGAGTAAAACAACATTGAAGCCACCTAAGACGAGTTAGTAGGGATCCCAAAGTCCTAAAGAACATTCCTAGGACCACTAAGCACCCAACTCTTTTTAGGACATTCGAAAAACTTTTAGAAAAATATTAGGGCGGGAGGGGCAAGACTAAATCTGCCTACTATCCTAGATTCCCCCTTCCAACAGATGGGGCGTCGGT